ACTGGCTAAACAAGAAATAGGACTGAGTGGACTTGTAGGCTCTAAAGTTTTATATTGTTTTATTTTTGAATGCAGCTTTTTGTACATAATTCTACATTTGTAAGTTCAACTTTCATGACAAAGAGATTGCACTACAGTACTTGTATTAGGTGAATTGAAAAATACTATTTACAAATATTTGCACTGTAAAAAACCAAAATAAATGTGAAGTACATTTTGTATTCTGCGTTGTAACTGAAATCAATATATTTGAAAATATAGAAAACATCCAAAAATATTTAAATAAATGGTGTTCTATTATTAACAGCGTGATTAATCACACGATTAATTGCGATTAATTTTTTTAATCGCCTGACAGCCCTAAAACAACTTTTCTCCTCCTACTCGAGATTCCCCAGTTTATGCATCCAAAGATCCTGTTCACTCTTTGGCCACATCGTTGCACTGGGAGCTCATGTGCAGCTGATTCTCCGCCATGACCCCCAACTCCTTCTCAGAGTCCCAGCTTCCCAGGATAGAGTCCCCCATCCTGTAAGTGTGGCCTGCATTCTTTGGTCCTCGAGGTATACATTTACATTTAGCTGCATTAAAATGCATGTTGTTTGCTTGCACCCAGTTTACCAAGCAATTCAGAATAGAACTCTGTGTGGGACTATTTTTTTAATCCTGCTCCCACCCTCCCCAAAATACCCACTCCCACCCGCTCCCTCATTGTTTCTTGCATTTTTATCATACTCCCACCCACAGAAACCTTAGATTCCACAAATCCTGAGAGACAGATTCCCCCATGCTATTTAAAACCAACAAAAAACAGTTGGTTAATATATTATGTATAGAAATGGAATTCAGACACAATTTTACTACTAAAAGAATACAACAAAACTTGCTTAAATCAGGTAAAAATACTTTAACTCTTGTTATAATAGACATCAAACCTCTTTTTATCCCTCGCTTAAATTTAAGTATTAAAACCTTTATTTAAAAAAATAGAAAAACTTGCTTGACAGTGCTGACATTTGATTTATGACAAACCGATGAGAGATTCAGTGTTTCCCCGCAAATTCCCGCAGTTTTTTTTTCCCCCACCCCCATCCCACCCACAGCAAAGTACATTTTACCCACTGCCACTGTTATGGCCGTGGGTCCTGCAGGACCCCGGTCCCACTGCTGAGCTCTGATCCTGATCGCTCTGTAGCAGTGACCTGTCCTCTTCATCATTTACCACTACCCCAACCTTTTTGCCATCTGCAAATTTTATCAGTGATGATGTTATGTTTTCTTCCAAGTCATTGATAAAAATGTTAAATAGCATAGGGCCAAGAACTGACGGGACCCTGCAGGACCCCACTAAAAACACACTCGCTCTAAGTGGGGGGTGAGTCCCCATTTACAATTACATTTTCATATATATCAGTTCACCAGTTTTAATCCATTTCACATGTGCCATGGTGATTTGAGGATATTCTAGTTTCAAATCAAATCAAATCTGTAGGTAAAGGCATTCAGCATGGAACAGCAACACTGGGCCAAGCTCCCTGCTGGTGTAACCCCCTGAGCATGGGGGCTATGCACCACTACCAGCATGATGCCCTTAGCGTCTGAACATCACTGAACATCAGCCACAGGCAGGACGCAGCTGCGAGATGCCAGGTTAGCTTGACCCAAAGGAGCCGTTCAACCCACTGCAGCCTAGAGTCCCTGGTGTCCCCTCTGCTGGTGCAGGCCCGGGCACGGTCCGTCACACAGGGAGGGTGCAGTGGAAGTGGGCATGGCCAGGGGCATGCTGGGCAGGGCTGCCCAGAGGATTCAGGGGGCCTGGGGTCTTCGGCGGC